GAGATCGCACGTGGTCCAGTCCCGAGTTAAAAGGATTAGATTCCTTGACTCAAAATTTGGACCAACGACCGCATCGTTCGTAGGAAACAGGTGTTAAAGCGTCCTTACAGGACGTTGACCCATATTCCGAAGCGAGCACAAAAGAGGTGCGTTCGACTTGCGGTACTCGCCTCCGTGCGGGTACCTGCGAGAAAAGCATCTGACCGTCCTTTCAAGTACCCTCACCGTTTCCGCTCCTTTTATTCTCCGAGAGGATCACAAACAATCAAAAATTTTCCAAGGGTTTGGACGTAACAGTAAGAGTTGAACTACTTCCGGAAAGGATAAATCAGTGTTACAAATGCCTAGAACCAGGACATGTTAGGACACAGTGCAAAAACGAGATAGACAGAGGTGCCCTGTGCTACAGGTGTGAACAACCTGGCCACTTAGCTAGGGATTGCACAGAACAGGCTCACTGTCCAATCTGTGCTTCGAGGAACCTAAAGGCAGAACACAGAATGGGCGGGCCAGCTTGCAAATCTCCTGTAATTAAAAAGAAGACCGCAAAGGAAACTAGACAGGATCCAAGGGAGTCCACACAAGGACAGAACAGAAGCAGGGATAACCTGGCCATGGAAGTGGACGATTGTCACAAAAACCTCCATACACACAAGAAGGGAAAGAGAGAGAAGCCAGCATCATAAGACACATGGCCGAATGCAGTGTGAAAGACAGTAACAAGGTGGAAGATCTAAGAATTATGGAAGAAATGGAAACAGAAGTAATAGGGGTGGAAACACTTCCTGATTCTCAAATACCTCAAGAAGCCAAGGATTGGCCAGAGAAGGGACACGATTGGACACCGGTTACACAGAAGACTCTGGAACAGGAAGGAATAGGAGAAGGAGGACTCCAACAAGATACAAACAGAAATGAGCAATAAAGTCCTCCAAGCCAATATAAATCATGCTAGAAATGGGCATGATATCCTTCTCCAAACGATGGCGGAGGGGGAATTCGCAGTAGCAGTGATATCGGAACCATACATGGTTCCCCAAAATCATCCCCATTGGACGGGAAATGACAACAGATCGGTGGCTATAACGTGGAGACGAACAAAAAACCCTGTTCCCTGCACGCCTTTCAGAAGTGGTACACACTACACATCAATAAGATGGGGAGACATGATCATAATAGGAACGTATCTGCCTCCCAGCCTGGATGCGGGGGTATTTGAAGAAGCCTTAGAGGAAATGGAAGGGTGGATACAGCAATTGGACAATTCCTTGATATACGTTCTAGGAGATTTTAATGCCAAGGCTGCCTTATGGCAATCGAAAACCACGGACCTACGAGGACGGATGGTGGTGGAGTGGGCTAGCCGTCTCGGCCTATGCTGCCTAAACCAGGACGGGAGAAGTACTTGCATCAGATTCACGGGGGAATCCATTGTGGACTTATCTTTCGCTACCCCAGTGGCAGCAAGGAGAATCCTGTCGTGGAAAGTATCTGACCGTGAAAGTAAAACGGACCACCGATATATAGAAATTGAAATTAGACTTAGAATGCAAAGGACGAAAAAACAACTTCCACAACAAAAAAGATGGGCAGCGAAAAAAATGGACAAGGATATGCTAGCCGCTGCAATCATGGTTAGCGATTGGTCCAAACTAAATGTGACCGAGGAAATAACAGAAGAGGAAATCGAAGCTAGGGCTAATAGACTCCAAGCTATAATGAATGACGCATGTAACACGGCTATGCCGAAGAATAACCCGAGAATTCAGAAAGCTATGCCGTGGTGGTCGGCGGAATTAGAACAACTTAGGGACGAACTCTCGTCTGCAAGAAGAAGACTAAGAAGAATGAGGAGAAGAAGAGGAGATCAAGACGAAGAACTTCATTTGATCGACTTCAGAATGGCGAGAGACACCTTTGGGAAAGCAATAAGGAAGGCAAAGGCGAAGTCCTGGGAAGACTTCGTCCTCACGTTAAACGAAGATCCATGGGGCCACCCATACAAGGCAGTAATGAACAAGTTGAGAAGATGGGTCCCGCCATTCACCGAGTCCCTGAACAGAACAACGTTGGACAGAGTTCTCACAGGGCTATTCCCAGACACGGGCATGGACAACTGGAGAGAACCTGAATTGCCAGACGAAGGAGAAGCGGCATGGAACGAAGGGCTCCAAGTCTCGCAAGAGGAATTAATGCTCGCAGCAAAGAGGATGATGGAAAAAGACGCGGCACCAGGACCGTCTGGAGTGCCTACCAAGGCATGGGCGATTGCTACAACAGAGATGGCTAGGGAAATGAGAACACTATTCTCCTCATGTCTTAAATTAGGAAAATTCCCGAACAGGTGGAAAAGGGCAAAGTTGATGCTTCTCAGAAAGCACAACAAGCCAGCAGATCAGGCGGCCGGATATCGTCCAATCTGTTTATTGGACGATAAGGCCAAATTGCTGGAAAGGGTGATCTCCGAAAGGATAACATCGCACCTGAATAACAGAGGACCGAACCTAAACTCCAAACAGTTCGGATTTAGAAGAGGTAAATCTACAATTGATGCAATTAGTACAGCCAGAGCATACATGGAGGAAGCGCATGAAGAGGGGAAGGTAGTAATCGGCGTATCATTAGACATAAAGAACGCGTTTAATTCCATGCCATGGGGGATTATAGGAAAAGCATTAAATAAACATAGAGTACCACCATATCTGAGAAGGACAATAAGAAATTACTTAAACGATAGGAACCTCTCTTTCCCCAAGGACAATGGGACATTGGGAGAAAGAGGAGTGCATAGAGGAGTCCCTCAAGGATCGATATTGGGGCCTCTACTATGGAACATAGGCTTCGATGATATAATGAAGAAGGAAATAGACGAAGAATGCTGTATCATATGCTACGCCGATGATACCCTTATTCTGGTGTCTGGCGACGACTGGGAGGAGGTAACCATGGAAGCAAACTTAGTGGCAGGAACGGTCATACAGAAAATCCAAAATATGGGATTGGAGGTGACACCCTCCAAGACAGAAATCGTGGGTTTCTATACAAGAGGAAGACCGGCTAATACAACAATAAATATAGCAGGATTGAAAATACCGGTAGGACAAAGAATGAGATACCTGGGTTTAACTCTGGATAGCAGATGGTCTTTCACCGAACACTTTGAGAACTTAGCACCAAGATTGGAGGGATCGGCCCACACCTTGAGCAGGCTACTTCCAAACCTGGGGGGACCGAATGACAGGGCTCGAAAGCTTTATATGAACGTTATTAGGTCCATTGTACTGTATGGGGCCCCGATTTGGGCCTACCAGGTACAAGGCAACAGAAAGGCAATACAAATATTGAGAGGAGCCCAACGTAGGATCACCGGAAGAATGATCAGAGCCTACAAAACTACATCGCATGCGGTTAACTCGGCTTTAGCAGGAGCACCACCACTAGAGTTGGAGGCTTTATACTACGAGGAGGTATACGAAAGGGTGACGAACCTAAGGGAAAGAGGTATCCCGATCCAGAATAACGATCTGAATACTATAAAGGAGACCTCTAGAAGAAAATTGATTAGGAACTAGGGCTGAGGGAAATGATCCAAAATGGAGACTCAATCCTTAGGGCTATAGGGGAACAGCTTGCGGACTGGGTGAACGCTGGAGTAGGCCTCTCCTTCCGGATGACGCAGATCCTCTCGGGGCACGGTTGCTTCGGGAGGTTCCTGTGTCGGATCGGAAGGGAGGCCTCAAATAGTTGTTGGCACTGCGATGCCACAAACGACTCCGCAGAGCACACTCTGAGATATTGCCCCGCGTGGGATGGCAAACGGGCGAAATTACGGGGGGTGATAGGGGCAGACCTATCACTGAGGACAATAATTAGAGCAATGAAAAGGGAAGAAGGGAAACAGGCGTTTTATACCTTTTGCGAGAGGATCATGACGAGCAAGGAGGCAGTAGAGAGAGCGAGAGAGGGAGTTATTCTCCCTACTTAAACATCACGTATTATACGTAAGATAGATTAGTCAAAATAGACTATATAGGTTAGGATAGTAGGCGTCTCCGCATGAGTTAGGGCTGGAAAGTGAGTGTAGAGGGGGAGGGGTAGGGTGAGTGAGAGAGAGGTAGGAAACAAACGCGGGGATATAGTCTTACTGAGATAGGTGGGTTAGCTGTACTGACTAGCGGGACAGCTATATGAATATAACTGATGTATTCATCGAACCCGCAGGAGCTTCTGCATCTATAATTTGGTCTACCCTCCCTGCGGCCCACAAGCCTAAAAGCTAACAGGAGGAGGCAAACGGTGACACTGAATAGCAGGGTCACTGGCCTCAAGAATAGTAGACATAAGTAGGGTGGACTCGTAGGCCGAGCCGGAGGAAACTTTGGCTCTACGAGGGGAAGACCCATGGAGACATGAACGGGGGTCCATGTTCCCCACGAGATGGGTAAGGGAAAGAGAGGGTGTGTCGCCAGCGTCGTCACACTCTCATGTATATAAGAACAGGATACGGCTAAACGTATAAGTACAGGGGTCCATCCGGAAGTACTACAGATGTGAAATTCCCGGATGGACCCCAAATGTCCGGGTTAGGTACGCCCGCAGGGGTTTTAGTGGGTAGGCTCCTCGGAACAGCAGTTCCGAGGAGAGAGTCCCACATACCCCGCTTTCCTCCCCCGGGGGAGGCGGGGATGCGTAACGCATTTCCCCTGCGTCACAAAAAAAAGGTTGGTGAGTGGCGAGAACGGTAATAAGGGTCGGCTCCACCATGAAATACCTCGGACTCGTGCTGGATGGCCGTCTGCACTTTGAGGCTCACTTCCTCGCGCTGGCGCCCAAGGCGGAGAGCATGGCGGCCCATTTGTGTCGGCTTATGCCAAACCTGTGCGGCCCCAAGGAACAGGTGCGGAGGCTCTACATGAGTGTCGTCAATTCGATCGTGTTGTATGGTGCCCCGATGTGGGCTGGGGACGCCGCGGACAGCCGGCGCATACGGACGATTCTGCGCGGGGTGCAAAGGAGGACCGTGGGCAGGGTGGTGAGAGCGTACAAGACAGCCTCGCACACGACGGTTACGGCGCTCACGGGTACGCCGCTGCTCGAGATGGTCGCACTCATGTACGCGGAAGAGCATGCGGAAGTGTCCGCGTTGAAAGAGGTACACGGGGTGGAGAGTGTCCCGCCGCAGGCGGTGCAGCTGGTGCGGAATCGTACGAGGGGCAGAATGATGACCCGATGGAGGTCATGGTTGAATGAGCGGGAGCTGGGAGGCGACCCTCTGGTCAAAGCCATCGCCCCCCATCTGGACAGATGGGCGGCTGCCAGAGTTGGCCTTTCCTTCCGTGCGACGCAGGTGCTCACTGGTCATTGGTGCTTTGGCCGGTACCTGTGTCGCATTGTTAAGGAGGTAACCCCGAGGTGCTGGCACTGCGGTGCTGTGTGCGACACTGCGCGGCATACGCTCCGTTACTGCCCTGCATGGAGCGACGACAGAAAAAGGCTGACCGAGGCGATGGGACAGGACCTCACGACGCCGAACATCGTGAGAGGTCTACTGTTCTCGAGAATAAAAAGGAAGGCATTCTTCATTTTTTGTGAAAATGTGATGAGGAGGAAAAAGGAGCAGGAGAGAGCTCGGGAGGGAGTCCCGGTGAGAGTGGAGAACGTGCCGGGAAACACGGTCGTAGGGCGCGCCACCATTGGGCCCCGGCGATAGAGAAAATTCTGTCGCCCGTTGAGGATCCGCCCGGTTAACGGGCTGTGATTGGCCGATCGGGATCCGGACTCTCTCCGGC